TTGCATATAGTGTCAGATAAGGAAGGATCCAGTGTCATTCTTTTGCATGTGGATCTCCAGTTTTCTCTGCACCGTTTGTTGAAAAGACTGCTGTTCCCTATTGAATGATCTTGGCACCCTAGTGAAAAGTGATTTGACCATGTATGCAAGAGTATATTTCTGTGCTCATTATTTTATCCCATTGAGCTGTATGTCTGTCTTTATGCCAGTACCACATGGTTTTGATTCCTGTAGCTTTGTAGTAAGTTTTGAAATTAGGAAGTGTGGGCCCTGCAGGTTTGTTCTTTCTCAAGATTATTTTGGCTATTCAGGGTCCCTTGAGAGTCCGTGTGCATTTTAGATCGGTTGTTCTACTTCTGGAGAAAACTTCTTAGGATTTTGATTAAGGATTGCATTGAATTTTAGATTTAGAATTTTAGATTGAATCTAAATTTGTTTCTAGTTAACAAATTGAATACTGCTTATTAGTATTCAATACTATTTATATCTATAATATTTATAGTATTATAATAATACTATTAGTATTAACACCATTTATTCCGTTATAGAATACTATGGTATGGATATACCACATTTTGGTTATCCATTGCCAGTTTATGGACATTTACGTTGTTGATACTTTTTGGCTATTATGGATAATGCTGCTGTGATCAAGTGTACAAGTTCTTACCTGAATGTATGTTTTCATTTCTCTTGGGTGTGTATGTATCTAGGAGTGGAATTGTTGGGTTGTGTGGCAACTCTTTGCGTAGCATTGAGAAAAACCATGGAATGTGGGGCTGAAGACTGACATGGTTGGATTTCTGATTTCAGAAAGATGAATGAGGTAGAAAGGACCAAGGTGAAGGCAAGGAGATCGGTTAGTATATTACTGCAAGTTCATGCCAAAGATGAGGTGGTCCAATTAGAGGAAATCAAAACCAAGATGGAGCCAGAGGAGTGGAACGGAGACAGATGTCACAGATGTCACGGTGTCCTGCATTGGTCATATTTATGGAACCTGAAATGCTCATGAGCAGGAGGAGTCAGGGTGATGCCAAGCTTATGTAAGTGGAGAATGGCTTTGCCCTTGACAGGTGGGGAGCCCAAGCAACATTTTACAGTTTATTAATTTCTGGTATGTCTGGAGATGGGTCTCTGGTGATATGCAGCTCAGTCAACAGAGATGAAATTGCTTTTGCCCTGCAGTAATCTTCATGAAAAGAAAGGGTTTGGCCTTATTTCTTCCTTGTTAAGAAAGTAGGACAGAAATGACTTAGCAGCTGACTTGCCTTTGAATTAGCCAGCAGATTTTGTGTATTCCTCCAATAATCGATCAAGTGTAGTGAAATTAATTGTTAAGGCTATTTTTTTAAGGCCACTTTCATGTTTAAAAAAATGCTGTACCGAAAGAGGCCATTGAGTAGGGTCATGGAAAAAGGAGCAAATTATTGTTTGTCTTTAAATATCAGTTCATCTGATAAATGTGGGTTACCACAAAGTATTGGTGGTTCACCAAAAATTGCCTTTTGGTAGCCTGTGTTTGGAAACTGATACGTTTCCATTTCATGGAGTGATATCACTTAGGCTAAACTAAAATACTTCAAAGGTTTTTGGTTGTTTGTAGGTTTGGGTTTCAAATTAGTACATGTTAATTGTTGAATCGGTCACCATATTTTGTTTGCTATATGTATTTCTAAACAGTTTTTGAGAGCAAAAATACTTTTTCCATTTGCGACAGCAATATGGATAATGGAACATTGTGATCTTGCTAGAGGAGAATTTTCTGTTAGTATTATAGAATAATGTAATTAGGCACTGTATGGAACTTGAAAACATATTTAAATTTTTGTTCTGGCTGTGGTTTTATGCTTTCCTAAAATGTGGCCTGAAACCATTTATTAGTAAATATGCTGAATTGCTTTCTCTGGCAAGTGCATTTCAGTGTTGAATCCAAGTGAAAATACAAATATTTACTTATAAAAGTCTTTTGGTGTGGTAATATTTTTACTACAGCCATTGACCCACTAGTAAAATGTTAGGGCATTGCTAGATTGGATCCTGTTTATTTAAAGGCCAAGAGAGGGAAAGAGAGTGGAAGCTAACATTAAGTGAATGCCTGTTATGTGTCACCGTATTTGTTACACTAACATATTATCCCTTTTCTACCCTCCTAGCAACTCAGTGAGGAAGTTTATATTCTCTCTCTTTTTCTAGCAAGAAAAACAATGCTCAAAGATTTTTATAGAAATTGAGAAGCTGATTTTTAAATCTAAATTAAAATGCAAACAATCCAAAGTAGCCAGGGCAATTTTTAAAAAGAAAAGCAAAGTTGGAAAATTAACATTACCTGACATCAAGACTTACTACAAAGCTACAGTAAACAAAGTGTGGTATTGGAGAAGGGAAACACATCTAGATCAGTGTCCAGAAATAGACCCGTAAATATATGGTCAATTAAAGATGATGCCAAGGCAGTTTAATGGGAAAAAGAAAATCTTTTCAACAGATGTGCTAGAATAACTGGATATCCATATCCAGAGAAAAAAACAAACCTCATTATTGTGCATAAAAATTAACTCGAAAGGATCACAGGCCTAAATGTAAAATCTAAAACTATAAAACCTCCGGAAGAAAACATAGGGGAAAAATCTCTGTGACCTTGAGTTTGGAAAAGATTTCTTAGGTCATGAAAGCAAAAGTCACTAAGAAAAAAAAAAATGATATGTGGCATTTGGTCAAAATCTAAAACTTTTGCTTTTTGTTTTGTTTTGTTTTAAATTTTTTATGTTTATTTTTGAGAGAGAAAGAGAGAGAGAGCACGGCAGGGGAGGGGCAGAGAGAGAGGGAGACACAATCCAAAGCAGGCTCCAGGCTGTGAGCTGTCAGCACAGAACCTGACACGGGGCTCGAACTCCCGAATGGTGAGATCGTGACCTGAGCCGAAGTTGGGCACTCAACCGACTGAGCCACCCAGGCGCCCCAAACTTTTGCTCTTTGAAAGACGGCATGAAGAGAACAAAAAGGCAAGCCACAGAATCGGAGAAAATATTTGCAATACATTATATCTGATAAAGGGCCTGTTTCCATAATAAAGAAAGAACTCTTAAAATTCAATACTAAGAAGACAGCCCATTTAAGAAAATGGGTAAAAGGGACGCCTGGTGGCTCAGTCGGTTAAGTGTCCGACTTCGGCTCAGGTCACAACTTCATGGTTTGTGGGTTCAAGGCCCTCGTTGGGTCTTGGTTGACAACAAAAGGCGGGGGGCTTTTTTTGTTTTGTGTCCCTGTCCCCCCCCCCCCCCCCACCTTCCGCACTCATGTTCTGTCTCTCTCAAAAACAAACATTAAACATTTTAAAAATGGGTGCAGTGTTTGAAAAGAATCTTCACAAATTATTATGCTAATGGCAAGTAAGCACATGATAGGATATTCAACTTCATTGGTCATTGGGGAAATGCAAATTAAAATCGTGAGGAGATAGATCAGCCTCCACACCCGTTAAAATAGTTAAAAAGACTGACAACACCCCCTAAAATTTGACTGGGATGTGGAGCAGCTGGAGTTGTGCACAGTTGATGGGGTTGTATGTTGGTGCATCCACTTTGTAAAACCGTCTGGTGGTTTCTTATAAACATACCATCTAGTCATTGTACTCCTAGGTATTTACCCCAAGAGAAACGAAAACGTTTGCTCACACAAAGTGTGAATGTATGTGACTGTATGAATATTCGTAGCAGCTTTATTCATGAGGCCCCCAAACTGGGAAGGACCCATATGTCCATCAGCAGGTGAATGGGTAAACAAAATCCAGACTATCCATAAAGTGGACTATTCGGTAGTAAAAGGAACAAGTACTAATACATACAGCAAGATGTATACCTTTCAAAATCATTCTGTTGGAGCTAGACACAGAAGACTGTGTGCTGTATTCCATTTACCTGCTTCCATTTGTACATACACTTCTAGAAAATGCAAACCAATCTGTGATGACAAGGCAGATAAGCGTTTGCCTAGGGCAAAGGGTGGAGGGAAGGGTGGACTGCAGAGGGGCACCAGGAAACTTCCAGGGATGGCAGCACTGTTCGGTTTCACAGGCGTAGATGCTTGTCAAACTCATACGCTTTAAATAGGTGCGGTATATTCTGCATAAATTATACTTCGAAAAGTAATTTAAGACAAAAAAGATGAAAATGAAAAAAATGAAAAGTACTCCGTGTTGGTGAGGATAAAAACAACCAGGACCCTCAGACTCTGCCTGTGGGAGTATTGATCAGTGAACCTCTTGGGAAAACTGGCAGTATCTGCTAAAGCTGACTGTGTGTCTGCCCTGTGACACAACAGTTTCACGCCGAGGTATCTACCCAACAAACATGCGTGCGTGTGTTCACCAGACGTCTTATACTAGAATGTTCATAGAACACTGTTCATAATAGCACTGACTGGAAACTACCCAAATGCCCATCACTGGAATGGATAAGTAAATTGTGGTATATTGATGTGATGGAATACTCTATGGCAATGATAATGAACGACCCACAGCTGTTCGCAAATGTTAGACTAAAGTACTTACTGTGTGATTCCATTTATGTAAGTTTAAAACCAGGCAAAACTACTCTATACTATTAGAAGTCAGAATATGATTACCCTTGGATAGAGAGCTTTGGATAAGGGAGAACCAGGCAGGCTTCTGAAGATGTTGGTAATTTGCTTTGCTTTGCTGTGGCTGCTGGTGACTTGGGTGTGTTTAGTCTAGAAAATCTATCAAATGGTGTCCTTAATTGTGCAGTTTCTATATGTATGTTGTATTTCAATTAAAAGTTTCTGAAAGACGTGCTGTCACAGAAAGGTGTCCTTGGTAATTATAAAGTGAGAAAAGCAAGTTGTAAAACATCATGCATGATATATGATCCTATTTATATAAATGGAATGATAAACAATAAACTTAATCCAAAATATCTCTCCAGAATGGTGATGATGCTAGGTGGGGAGGATCATTAATTTTGCTGTTTTGTTTTTTTTTTAATATGGAATGCTTCATGAATTTGCGTATGTCATCCTTGCACAGGGGCCTTGCTAATCTCTGTATCATTCCAATTTTAGTATTATGTGCTGCCGAAGTGAGCACAATTTTGCTGTTTTTATAACGTAAGTAAATAAATGAGAACAGTTTCTGTTAAAAAAAAAAAAAAAGTGGGGCTCCTGGGTGGCTCAGCCAGTTTAACATCTGACTGTTGATTTCAGCTCAGGTCATGATCCCGGGGTCGTGGGATTGAGCCTTGAGTTGGGCTCTCTGCTGAACGTGGAGCTTGCTTAGGAGTCTCTCTCTCTCTCTCTCTCTCTCTCTCTCTCTCTCT